AGGGACTTTAAGGTATAAAAAAAAATCTGGAAACACATTTCGAGCTTGTACATAGTTTAGTGAATGCACATAAGATTTTAATGAAATTTAAATACCTTTTTTTTCAAACGAATCGATAGCGGAGATAAATTAAAAGTAAACATTACATTTTTTTCAGAAATAAAAGCGACGAGTAAAAAATAAAAAAAAATAAATTGAATGTGGTATTAATTAATTATGTAACTGATTACAATGAAACAAAAAACCTTCTTAGAGATAAGAAAAAAAAATCAGGATATTCACACTTACGTGTGTATCGATCTTGTAATCGTATTACAACAAATTTCAAAATTTTAAAGAGGGGAAAAGAGATTATGCACTTGACCAACTAAAAAAAAAAAAAAATAAGGACCGATAAACGCGGACAATTAAATTGACAAGGGTAAATTTTTATACATATTTTACGCTTGGCATGTGTGCAGTCGATATTGTTCCATCTGTATTTAGTATAGGTAATGACTCGTTATCTCTACAATATAATATTCGTATATTGCGTTGATGAAATAAAAAAACTATGGTCGTAACGTGGCGAATTAGGAGGAAGAAATTTCAAAATGAGCTTCGAGATCAAGTGTGAAAATATATGCGTATAAAACAATAGTTTAACGCTCGACTCAGTAACCCAATTTGATTTAACTCGCGTGTCCGAAATCAAAGGACAAATTAATTATAATCGAGAGCAGATGATTAGCTCCAGCGCTGCACGCAACGCGGCCTCTGCGGAACAAAAAAATCGGGCACGACAGCATAAATGCGAGCAATAAAAAAGATAAGCTCCGCGACAATGGCCGTTGATAATTTACTCATCGATCACCCGTGCGATGAAAATCGCGTGGCTCAAGATGCTCGACCCTCTTACGGCCGAAAAATTTCCCTCTCCAATCCCACCCCCGAAAGTCATTTGCGGCGCATCGATTTTGTCTCGGATGCAAAATTCTGGTCTTCACTGGCAGCGAGAAGCCGAGGATTTTGCAATGGTTGAAAGAAATAAAAAAAGATTCTTTTCTTTTTTGAGCTTCGCTTCACTGGGATGCGAGTGATTTAAAAAAAAAAACACTCGATCGCTATCGTTGTCGAATACGTTCATCGCGATCAAACATATATCGCGTCATAGCAGTTCACATTGCATCGATCACTTTTGACCAGTACGATAACGTAATGCACGTTAAACCCCACCAAAGATCCCAAAAACGATCATCCTAAGTCTAAAGCCCCCGAAACTCATTTAAGTTCTCCGGAGATCGGGTCTCGTGCTAAATCCTCTTGGGATCCGCGCTGTTTTGATAAAATGAGCTTCGTTATATGTGTGCACTCTAGATGTTAGCGATTTTTTTTTCCCCCCAAGGCTCGCGTGACAGTCGATGTGGGAAATTAAGTTGGATATTATTGGAGGATGGAATTTATTGTAAAAGAGGAGGCCGATGGATCGGGGGACGAATAATTTTATCCGCGAAGAGTAGGGAAACGAGTGGGTCACGGATTATTTGCGATGCGGCGATTTTCGATCAAAGATCAGTCTTTTTCTGGGGCGAAAGAGGTGATGCGTGAGGATTTGCGTTTTATGAGATTAACTTGCGAGCAAGGCTCGGTGGATAATATTTTTAAAATGAAATCAAGCCTTTTTCGATAAGACTTTGTATTGAATTCTGCTGTACTCGTAGAACACAATTTTTACTTTTTGGGGAATGAAAATAGCTTTTTAGAAAAATAATTAATACAATATTTTTCTAATCATATTTTCTTCAATCTTATGGGTTTCCAGTAGAGTAATGCAAAATTTTAGAACAAGATTTTTGAGGAGACTTTTTAAATTATTTAGTAAAAAAATTATTGAGTTCGAGCCATGAGTCCAAGGACATTTTCTATTTTTTAAGTACTTTTCTTTTCGACACCAGCGTAGGTGATGACATAGCATTGTTGTGAAGGAATACCTTAAAAAAATGTTTGTTGAACTTCTCGAGATACAAATAAATAATTTTTTTTTGCCCAACTCATGTTAATACGGTAGCGTGTGGACGGGCAATACTTGCAAAAACTAAACTCGAGGAACAACCATTAATCGCGTGAACCAAAAAAAAAAAAAAAGTTTCGTTTTCACCAACCAATGCGTAAGCGTGAAAAAAAATTGTAAGTGTACCATTCGGGGCTACAAAAAAAAGAGGAAAAAAAATTCCATTACACGCTACCGAAAACATAAATATACCAGTGTGCTGTTGCTAAGCCCCCGAAAATTCAATTTCTTTTCTGTTGTTTTTTTTTTCTCCCTCACAACCCTGTAATATACGTCCCACCCAACGCCTATACAACCCTTGTACAAACAACAAAGACACCGGGAGATAAGGTCGCAGTGGGCAAAAATTTCAGGGTCAGGCCTCCGTGAGGGGAGTTAAAAAGGAGCCTGGCGAGCCTCCAAAATAATTCAGCTCCCTCCCCAAGGTACTTTTCGACTCGCACGGAAAGAGAGAGAGGCTTCGGGTGTACGTGGGTGTAAGTATACTGCACCCCTGCAGTGGATGTAAAAATCGATCGTTCGGCATCTTCGACCGTATAACGTTTACCTTTGTTGTATCGGCTACTCGTCAAGTGGATATTAATTTTCCTCGAACCGTTTGTTTCTCGATTTACGAGTCTACAGCGCGTTTCTATGGATTTTTGGCCCAACAACATCCGGGAGCTATACGTCAGTTTTTTTTTCCCCCCCCCCCCTTCCATCAATCACTACGTGATGGTTGTTCGCACAAAAATATCCGTACCCGTACAACACGCGAACACAATATACATACGACCCAGTCACGATACTCCTCCAGAAAAAAGTTTTCGTAATATCAATCCAAACACCCCCTCAGTTGAGGAATCATAAAATTTACCTCAAAGTCACGCATTCGAAGGGCGAAATCCAACAAACGTTACCCAGCAGTGCTGACCAGTAATCGCGCGAATCAGCTGATTCCTGCAAGCGAATATATTATAAACACGTGACCCGCACTGCCGTTCCTCCTCTCTTGGGTGCACACACGTGGAATGTCCTCCATATCGATCCGAAATATATCTCATCCTCCCACAAATTGATAAATTTCTTACTCTCCCCCCCCCTCCCTCTCTCTACTACTTTTCTATATGTATATAATATGTGGTGAGGCTTGTACATCGTGCACGAGCTTAAAGTTAGATTAATGAGATTTTAACTAAGTTTTGCATACGTGCGCGTAAACACGTGTTTAATAATTACGGTGATATTTACCGTTAAACTGACTCTAAAATTACGTTGTGTTTCAACTCCGCCTCAATTTCACGGTAAACATTACCGAAATAAAAAAAAAGTTGCTCAATTACGTCGTGCTACTTGGCGTTACCCGACGCGTCGCAGAAGTAAGCAGACTTGGGCGGGGATGATTTGAAAGTAAAATTTTTTCCAGCAATAACGATGCATTGCGATTTGAAAGAAAAAAACAAGTCATGTATAAAAAAAAAGATTAAAATTTTTTAATTTGGAGTACTTTTGCGTAACGCTTATCTGACGGGGGGGGGGGGGAGTTCTCAATACTGTAAATGGAGATGCGTAAAAAACTTTTTTCGTTTTTTTTTTTTCCAGTTTTTTAAAATTGCATGAAAAAATAGCTGCGCCCACGTTTGCGAGTAAGAAATTGCAAAACTCTAACAAGCGTAAGAGTGTCGCAAGACAGGCGTTAACGAACTTATCTCGCAGTGGCTCAGCAGGTTATTAGTGGTACTTAAATAATTATTTGTTGTTCAAAAAATACGAGATCCCGCCTATCGCTTATTTTTCGTGATTGGCCGATAGTGGTGTATATCAAAGTGGTAATTCCTTTATAAATAACGTGGATCGAAACTCGAGGCGTGGAAGCCTTACGTACACACGAGACGTACAGAGAGGGATCGATTACCCATTAAAGTCGTTCGGCAGGTTGATAAATTTTTTTTTTACCGTGAAAAGTTTTTGATTTCGCGATTGGCTGCTTTATAGTCTTTTTAAACTATCGGGGCGTGAGGGGCACTTTTTTGATTCGAGTAAAGTGTTGCAAAGTTTTTTGATGCTCGCGACTAAAAGGCGCATCACGAGTTTTTTCCTCTACGAAAAGATCGAAAGTTTTGACGCTACTTTTTTTTTGGAAACGAGACTCGAGTTCCTTTTTTTTTTTTATCGGTAAAACGCATCAGATGCATTAAATTGTTCTCGTTCGTGCACTCACAGTTTTAGCAGATTAATAGTTTATGAAAAAAACTTTATTATGGAAGTATGGGTCGTTTTATTTAATTTTTTTTTAATTCTGTTGATTTGTGATCTTTGCAAGTCGATATTAATATGTACGAGGGGCGCAAAGGGCATCGTGAGTGTGCCATCGTACATACATTATTAAACTAAGAGTACAGAAAAATAGTAAAAAAAAAAAAAAAAAAAAAAAAAATGCCAATAACAAACACTCTTTTGAAGTTCGAGTGCTTTTCAAAAACTTTGAGGAGCAAAAGAGGCTAGATCTTTTTTTACCAAACAAACAAAACATGACGCACGAGGCCAGACGGGGTTGTTGTTGTTCACAACTCCTCGTTGGGAATTCGATTGAACGAGGAAGATTCGTTGGAAATTTCCGTGCCAATGTTGTACGACGTGCTGAGTTCGCTTTTTTTACTTTTTTTACGTTTGCACTTGTCCTTATGTGTCCTATCGATGTATACGCTTGATTTTCCGTCTCCTGAGTACAGGGCATTGAATAATTTTGTGTGGCACACTTTTATTTATTTATTTTTTTCATTAATTTTGAATCTTTTACTGTCTGATTTCATTGATAAAAATGAAAATTTTACAAAAAAAAAAAAAAAAAAAAAGAAATAAAATAAAATGATCACATCACGGGAGTCGTATGTGAAAAAATTAAAAGTACCACAGCACTGCACGTAAAATGTATAAATATTTGATGTTGATAAATGAAACGGGTACTCACCAAAAATCCGGCTAGCCGTGATTGAGCTGCTGCTAAAAAACCGCAACGCTCAGCTGCATTTCGTCGGGAGCTCAGTGTGTCAATGAAGAAAGAAAAAAAAAAAAAAAAAAAACCAAAAATAATCGAGCTGTCGAGGAGGAGGAGAAGAAAAAGGAAAGGAAAGCGCTGTCCAAATACTTTGGTCGCTGTACTTCTCTGCTGTCTACACGCGATATATATACATACCGTTACTGCGTAGGTGCGTGGGTATACAGACAACAAGATTTTTGGATTTTCTTGTTTTATATTTAATTTTTACTCAGCGTCGCAGGCCGATTTTTCCCCTATTTATTTATTTTCCTAGTTTTTAAATTATTGTCTCGTTTATTTGCTTCCTTGGTCTTTTTTTTTTTGTTTTTTGTTTTGTTTCGACGACAGAGCGCGGTGTTGGTTGAAAATTAATTCACTCGTTTATAATTTTAACTACAGGCTAGGCATACGTAATCGCGTACACACGAGCTACTGTACACCGACGTAGTAGAGGGTAGGTCGTAAGGGGTAACTTTATTGTTTGCTTTAGTTATTCTATATGTGCTCCCAAGCGCCTGCGGCAAGTTACGTGATGGGCACGAAACCACACACGATGCAGCTTCCCCCCGCACGTTCGGTCTTTTGTTCGGCAATGAAGGAACAAAATGGAGCGCAAGAGGGAAAAAAAAAAGAAGAAGAGGCGATTCTAGCCACGCACTGAGTTTCGCTAATATATCGTGCGATAGGCCGTGCGCGTCGTGTGTATGTGTACGTGCATGGGTAATGCGGGGTGCGCGCGAGGAGTCGAACTGCTGGTGCGGTTATTTTCTCTCGAGCGTTATAATACACATTGTAAGCCCCCCCGCGCTGCCTAGGTCTCTCGCATCACCGTCCTCGGTACGGCACATGCGCGGCCGACTCGTATCTTTTCTCTCGGAGATGACGTAGCTCATCTCCTCGTCTACTTTCCTTCTCTCTCTCCTTTTCTTTCTCCGAACGGAACTGTGTGCGTGGAGGAGTGTACTCCCCCGCGCCGAGTGCGTGGATCGGTATGTTACATGCCGAAGTCCTTAAAAAAATCGAGTCGGTAATACAGGCGCTGCTCGGGGCAAACGGGAGTTTTTTTTTTTGGACAAGATCACGGCTGGCTATTTGGCTGTTTTTTTTTTTTTTTTTTTCAATCGTGATCTTGATGAGGAGTATATTTTTTCCTTCCTCGAGTTTTGAAACAGTTATAGGCTGTACGCGTCATAATTAGAAACATGGAGATCCCGTTCACTGGTTTAAATGGCAGGTGGCTTGAAATTTCTTTTCATTCTTTTCATTCTTTTTTTATTTTTTTTTGTCCTTGAATAATGACTTGTAGATCGACATTTTTTAATCACAATTTTTTAAAATTCTATTTTATTTATAATAAACATTCATGATATTTCTACATCATATGTATATATGTATATAAGTTCGTGGTAATGAACAATTTAAATGTATATGCATCTTAACATCTGAGTGTTAAAAAGTAATGTAAAAAATGGTAAAAAAATTATATAAAAAAATAAACTTGCATTATTCAATTCTATTCACTTTAAGATTAATTTAAAAAATTAAAATTTCCCTCTCTTCGTAGGATATCAGTATGGATTGAATATAGATCCAAAATATTAATAAATCAAAGTTGGAAAAAGTAATTATTTTTCATGGTTAAAATTAATTTTTTATCGATTTAACCGTATGTGGATGTTGGCATTTTGGCAAAAGAGAGGGAGGAAAGGAGAGGATGTGCAAATGTGAGTGTATGCTACGTCTCCGTATATTTACACGCAATACATGAAAAGTGAGCGCGCAAGCGCCCTGTCGCAACAACTGAAACATTATTACTTATGTATAGGTGATATCAATATTTGAGGGTGTGATTGGCTGAGCTGATTCATGAAATTTTTGAGGCCCAATTTTTCGAAAGTCCTACTGTTGCACACAGCTGTAAACTATAACTTGTGTCTATAGCCTTTCGAAATTTTTTGAATGACTCTGTAATATTTCGAGAAAAAAATATTTTAATTCATTTAGAGTAATTATAATACCTTTGAAAAAAATTTTATTCATTCGATGCAATTTATTCGTTACTTCCAGTGATTCTGTTTGTATGGCGTTATTAAGTAAACAGAGTTGAATTAATTACTCGTAGGATTATGCCCTTACCGAACAATTTCGAATTTTCTGCACAAGTTGAATGTCGGAATATAACTTTGGGGGCAGTAAATTTTGATAAAGCACTGCGGATATTCAAAATCGTTTAGTTTTAGAGACGAACGTGCGTTCATAAATTATGGAACTCTGCCAAAGTTTTTTTCTCTTCCGCAGTATGTTTTAAACTATATGTACCAATAACACGTGTGTAGATGTAGCAACATGTTTTTTCTAGAAAATAAATATTTTGCTTATACGAACTGGACATTTCAATAGAAAATATGATCTATAAAAATCTTCGATGTAATTTCACTTAATTAAAATTTACGTACTGATAATTCAATACCTTTTTTAAGCATGATTTTTACCGATTTTTAAAATGTATTTTTCAGCTCACTTGGAGAAAATCAAGTGGTATCAATCACCTCAATGTACTGCTGTAATTCTTGTTGTAAAAATCGATCGTAGTACCAATAGTTACATTTTTTATCGAACATAAGTGTAATTTGCATTATAATAAAATTAGTTAAGTTCTGAATAAATTCAGAAACATAAACAATCTAGGGACCATATTTTTTATCATTAAATTATTCATAAATATGAAAAAACGCTAGTTTACGTAATTAATAGATGAAAATATAGTATTCCAGTTGTTACAAAATATCCTAAGCACAAAGAGATTATCTTAATAATAAATAGCTTTTTATATGTCGTTCAAAGTCTTAGTAAACAAATTACTTCTTCTCAAGAAGCGTGGGAGCACGTTCAGTACATCCAGTATTAAGTAAAAATTTTGAATTTTTTATCAAATTATCTCCAGTGAAGTAATACATTTGTTTTTTCATAAAACAATACTACGTATAGCCACTTTTTTGGTTGATATTTTTATTATTTCATAATATATTTATTTCATATATTTAAAAAATTTGCTACAATTATTTTAGTATTCAGTATGATAATTTAGAGTTTTTAAACGGCATCTTGAAAATTTGTTTTTATATAACAATTAAAAAAAAAAAAAAAAAAAATCAATTACAAAACTTCATGAACTGGGAGGTGGAGTCAGCTTGCGGAGCTCGCCCGAAGCAAAAAGCAACTGATGCCGAGAGTAAGTACTGACGAACAGTAACCGCTCTCGCTTACTCTTTTTAACTCTGGCATATCTCGCTGGTGAACTATACGTACGGAAAAATATTAAGTAAATACAACAAAAATTTGGTGGTGCAGTTTCTATAACTAACTTATATTACCTATCATAATTATATTATCTGTGACAAAATTATGTGCAACTTATTTTTAATACTTAGAGTAACGAACCAACTGTTTTCTAAAATTCTTTAATATTTCAGCTAACCAGTTTTTTTTCCGTCAGCATTTTGATAAACATCAATGGCATTTGAAAAAACAGACGGACAGGTGTTAAATAAACTTTAACGACATTTTTATCTGAAAATGATAAATTGTTAATTAAGCAAGTTATTAATAAAAGTATACATGCGTGAAATACCATAAAGCGTAAGAATATAAGCCATTAAAAATTTAAATTCAAGTAGAAACTTCGAGATGTTTCTGACGTTTAGTGGTATCATAATCCAAAGCATGTTAATTTTCATAAATTTGACTGTTTTACTCGACTTAATTAATTAAACCAAAATCTTTACAAATTAAAAAAACATTATTTTCTCATAAATTATTTTAAACGTAGAAAAAAAATTAAATTTTCAATATTTTCATGTATTTTCATGTCGGTTACAAATCACAGCACTTTAAATTTGAACCGAGTCAATGATAATCTTGTATGATACGTATTTCGTACTGTAACTGGAAAAGTAATGTAGCATAAATGTAGTTGGAAAATACCAAATGGAATAACTGCTGTGTACAATTCTCGAGTACATTTTTATTTTTGTTCTAATATTTTAATCGTATTTCCGCCACAAAGTGATACCCTATACATTAAAATATGTCAATTTATGTTTGACGGTTCACAGCCGATCGAAAAAAAATTATCCATAATTTATTGTTTGGTTTCTCGACTCTGTTTACACATCCATCTCGTTTTTATTATTTAGATACTTTTACTGCCCTTCCAGACATTTACGTAGACTGTGAGACACATTTCGTACAAAATACCATGTAGAAGAGTACATCGTATTGCAGTTATATTCGTCTCTTTGCTACGTTCGGTCTCAGTCAATTTATATGCTACTTTCAGTAAATCTACAATGCCATTTTTTGTAGCGAATAATTCTAGAGATCTTTTAGCACAATACGGCATTACCCCTAAATTTTCATGTGATGTTTAACTAACAAGTTCGTGAGAAAGATTTTGCTTTTAATCCACTGCAACAAAATCATACATTGAAAATCTTCATTTTCATTCAAATAAAATTTATTTTATATTTGAGGCGCTGCTGGGGCAAACGGGAGTTTTTTTTTTTGGACAAGATCACGGCTGGCTATTTGGCTGTTTTTTTTTTTTTTTTTCTCAATCGTGATCTTGATGAGGAGTATATTTTTTCCTTCCTCGAGTTTTGAAACAGTTATAGGCTGTACGCGTCATAATTAGAAACATGGAGATCCCGTTCACTGGTTTAAATGGCAGGTGGCTTGAAATTTCTTTTCATTCTTTTCATTCTTTTTTTATTTTTTTTTGTCCTTGAATAATGACTTGNTAATGAAAAAAAAAAAAAAAAAAAAAAAATGGCGAAAAAACCCCTCTGCGCAGTAAAATTTGTATTCATGGCAATGATTATCTGGATCATTATCCATTCAAATAATGGTGTTCAAGCACAACTCGTTATGGAACCAGATCTCTACAAATACATTATCAAAGGTGTACACTCCATTTTCTACAACAGATACATTATATTTATATACACGGACGATAATGCCGTGCATTCGCCTTGTAAGTTAAACATCAATTGTTTTTATGATGTTTTTATTTATTTATTATTATTAAAATAAATCATCGCATCCTTTTAAATTTCCTGCAAGCTTTCCATCAAGCCGCTCAGTTTATGAAAATTCTGGTCTACTTTTCAAGAATTCACGTTCGCACATTGGCTTTTCACACAAGGACTTTTGAAGACAAAGTGAGTAACTATATAATATTAATAAATTTTGTCTACTTTGGCGTGACTTTTTTCTGCCTTCCATAAGTATTTGAAAATAATAGTTATGAAAAAACAAAATGTTAACATACCAATCAATATGATAGGAATTTCATTTATAAAGTATTGTTCTTATTCTTATAGATGAAGGATAATTCTTTCACAAATTTGGAAAATGCCCTGATTGTGCTCATAAACGACTCCGACGAAATGAAAGAGTTTACAAAGGTGGGCATCACTTGTGTTTGTTGTCATGTAGATGTAAAAGTTTTAAACTTTTGTTAAAAATCTGGAAAAAATCGTACATTGTCGTAAGAAATATTTTAATAATAACCTTACACGATCTCAGGAGATATCCCCCTGGTTTTCGACAGACAGTACACAGTGGATGATCTTTTTGGGGGAAAAAACGGACGCTGCGGTATTTTTCTCGACCATCTACGTGCCCCTGGACTGCCTGTTTCTCACGGTGCAGAAAATGGAAGGCAAAAAAAGTCTAAAGCTCCACGAAGTCTACAACATTGCCGATGACCAAGAACTGATAAACAGCCATTACGGGGCTTGGGACGAATATGGAGGACTCGAAGTGAGCGATTTGTCCTTGTACCAGCGTAGAACCGATCTTCGGGGACATGTCATCGGAGTCTCGGCGTACCAGGTAATTTTACGTCTCAGGAAGACTTGGGAAAAAAAAAAAAAAAAAAAAAAACCAAAAATAAAAATGAAAATTAACGAAACTCCCTGCTTTCCTCCATCTCCCTCTTTCTGGCAGGATGTGCGAATGATTAATGTCCCTATGTGCTTATATACACACGGGGTTCTTTCCGCGCTCGTACCGAACCAACGCTCTCTTTGGGCGGGTATTGTATATACCTATATGGATGTACGCGGTTGCCCGACAAAAATAACTGCAATTAAAAAAAAAAAAAAAAAAAAACTTTATTTAAAAATTTCAATACCTTTTCTTTATTATTATTAAAAAATAGTGTAATTTTTTAGTTCCATTCCCATGTAACAAAAGTTAGAGTACATCACTGTCTTATAAACACGTACAAATAGGAGTACAGTCTCAAAATTGAATCCACCAGATTATTAAACACCTGAATACACTGAATAAGTATTACATCTTTTAGTTAAGCACACATACTATGTCCCAATTTTTAGGTTACATGTCTTATCAATAGGGATGT